ATTTAGTTCTCATTAAAGCTAGAGTTCAGGGAATTTAAAAAGATTAGCTGCAGGAGTAAGTCAAATTACTCCTCATCTCTTCAAAACAACAGAAAAATGAATTTAAAGAGGTTGTGCTGTGCATGAGCTCAGATATAGCAACAACATTCTGCAATGGTGCCCATCTGCAATGGTGCCCATCTGCATTAGCCCTTTGGCACTGGCTGATTGTCAGATGCTCTGGTAACTACATTTTGCAGTAGCACATCATATTATGAAATCCAATTGGCACTCGAGGCAGAAAAGGCAAGATCAGTCATTCAGCAGAGAACATGACTTTTTACTATGTCAGCTTGTGGGTATGAGCTGTAATAGCTGCATCATGCACTGCACACAAAATAAGAGGACCAGAGAAACCAGGCAAAAATCAGGAGAGGCCACAAAGGCTTCTACCACCAGCATCAAGACAACTGACCTTGGATTGAAGGACTGACTGGCACCCACTACCACAGAGCCACCACAAAATTATTATAGCCACTTTCATTACTGAGGTAGCCAGTAAAGCAGTCTCTTGATTTATTGAGCATGGGCCCCTATATCCTTCTGTGCAAGATTTCCATCTGAAATATGAAATATTTTCTTTGTTACAACTAACTTGTTTCCAATGCCCTCAAAATAGTCTAAAACTTAAGCAAGAGCTTTCTTCCTCTAGATTTTACCCCTTTCCATTTAAAAAAAAAAAACACCTGCCAGGTTTTGAAAGCTGCTGAAAAACTAGGGCATGTTTTTGGGGGCATTATTCCAATTTATTATTGCTGTAATGGCACCAAAAGAACAAGGCCGTTTTGTGGTGGCTCACAAAAAAACTAAATAGTCTCTCGAATAAATTGGAAGCCTATAGGTAAATGGAATCTAGAAGATATTTCCCCTCAAGATAAACTTGAGAATGATAACATCTGCTGCCTGTTAAGTATAGAGTGTCTCTCAAAAGCATTTTTGCTCAATTCCATCTTTCTTATTAAGACAAAAAGCATATCTTATTTTTAATTAGACATTTGTGATGCCAAGGAAATGGCTAGTCTGCACCAGACAAGCAGACAAAAGGCTGAGTCTCAAAGGCACACAACTGTAACTGCTGCAAGAAACAGATAATACAACTTGGCATTAAAGGACTTCCTAATTAGCCAAATATTGCACTGCTGAACAAGCTATTACTGAAACCCAGTATTTCTAGGTGTAAGAAGTAAAGTAACATTACTAGTGAACTATACAAATAGACTGACTACTGCTAAGTCAGCTTAGGAAAGACTGGATATCCATGTGTAACCCTAATATACTAGGAAACAGAAAAGAGCTCATTATAAGACTTACTAAAATAAGCAAAGACACATTACATATTATGTATAAAATACTGACTATGACTTATTACGAAATTTCTATTTAAAAAGTTACCACAATGCATCTGTCACATGAAACTCTAAAGTAAATTCCAAGTCACAGGTTGGCTAAAAGGCATCTTTCCCTGTAGAACACATCACACTGTCTCTCTCAAGTATGCAATGCTTCCTCTTGGTCTGTGTAAGAAATCTGCAGGAAAAAAGGAAGCAGAAATACGGATTAAGATTAGCTGTTTTGTAACTCTAAACTTCAAAACTGTAATTCTGGTGCAGGTATCATTTAGACCACGGATGGACAACCTGTGGCATGTATGCGTGGCACAGGCAGCCTGGGTGTGTGCCACATGGTAGATCAGAGAGAGAACACAGGGGTAGAGAGGGCAAGGAGCACAAAGCAGAGCTGCAGGCTGGCCTATCTATGGTAAACAGCCTCTTTGCCATCCTATATGTAGGTCTACATGGATTTCTAAGATTCATTACACAAAACTTACCAATACATGCTTTGTCAAAAGTACATGAATTCTGGAGCAGGAGAACACATCTGTGGGAGAAGGTAAGAAATGGTTACCTCCTTTTCAGTAAGCATGTTAAGAGACTTTTGGACATATCTCTACTCTGGTTTTGGTGCATATGCACCTTATGTATACAAGTCTGGATTCTTTGTTGAACATTGAGACTATACCCACACCCTGAGCACCCTTCATGCTTCCTGCTAAAGGGTATTAAGAGCAGGGCAAGTGCAAACATTATTCAGCTCCTTTGCCAGAATCAAGATATTACAACACTTATTGTAAAGCAAGGAAAGAGGAAGCATATTGAAGTATATGCAAACCAGAACCACAATTAACATTTCATAGATTTCATAGACATCAGGGCTGGAAGGGACCTCGGAAGATCATCGAGTCCAGCCCCCTGCCCAAAGGGCAGGAAGTCAGCTGGGGTCATAGGATCCCAGCAAGATAAGCATCCAGTTTCATCTTGAAGGTGTTCAATGAAGGCGCTGGAAGAATGCAGCAGTTGAAAGCTTCACCAAAGCTGAAGCTCCCTGGGAATGCAGAAGATGACGGAAGTTGTCAGAGGCCTATAATGTGTCAGGGATGTACTTGGTAGCTGTGTCGGTCTGAAACAAAAAGGAATACAAAAATCTAGAACTCTTGGTTCCAAAATAATACCTTTTATTAGACCAACTGAGAAATCACAAAAAAATAATCTTTTTCTGCAAGCTTTCGGGCTCAAAGGTCCTTTATCAGGCTCTGGGAAAAGTATAGATGGTAACCACTAATGTTGTATTTCAGAGGCCTATAAAGCATTATTGAGTCTGGGGAGACTGGGGAGGAATTTGATAATAGTCTTCAAATACCTGCAGGGCATTTTATAGAGAGGATGAAGATGGGCTTTTCTCTGGCCATAAGGGAGAGGACTATGAACAACAGATTCAAGCTACAGCAGAGGAAATTTACATTGGAGATTAGGAGAAACTTTCTGACTATGAGGGTGGTGAAGCATTGGAACAGGCTATCTTGAGTAGTTGTAGAATCTCCAAGCTGGGAAATTTTCAAAAGCAGTTTGGGCAGACACTTGGCTGGTATGGTTTAGTGAGAGAGAATTCTGCCTTGGGCAGGGAGCTGGACTAGATGACCTCATGAGGTCCCTTCCAGCCCTACTTTCCTTTGATCCTAGAAAAAATGAAATAGATTTCAGCTGCTTTCACTTTGTACCTGGGACAAAGAGTAGTAGTGAAAAAGAAAACTAGTAGGTAATCTTATCCTTCCAATAGCAAATGTTTTTAATTGTTTTCAGTTAACTCAGGCAACGAAGGCTAACTATGAAACTTTCTGAGTGTCACACTCCATATAAAAATTAAACATGAAATATACATTGTTAACCTGGAGCAGATTCTGTTCCAAGATAAGATCCACAAGATGTGGTTGTATTTTCCACAGTGACCCAGAAAGCAGGTAGAGGGAAGGACAGCATGGGAAGAATGTGCTAATGCACACAGAAGTAATAGGTAGGCTAGTTATAGCTGCAGGTATACTTTGATTGCAATTCAGATAATTATTAACATTAGATTAAGTAAAAAATATCTGATTTTAGGTATGGGCAGTAGTGCAGCTACAGACAGACTGTTAAGGTCAGCATTAAGGTATTCAGAAGTGTAAGTTTGTAACGTGTGTGGATCTCTGCCAAGTCTCTCACACCTGCAAACATAAATATAACCTTTTCTTACCTCTCCCCAGTGTTTTCGCTCATTCTTTCTTCCCCCCAGTCAGTTTCCTCACCACCTGTGCCATCACCTTCTAGCCTAGTAACTCCCATCTGGTCATCCTGTATATTCTTAAACATGAACAATTATATCAAGATGTCAGTTTTCATGTGCACATATCTCATTTGTGTAGGCAGCTGCAGCACAAGTACACAAGTTAGGTAGGCCTTGAGAAAAAGTATGTGCATACTGTTTCAAGGTTCAACAGCTTAGTTACACTCTGCCAGTGATTCTCAACTCTTTAGATTCAAGGCAGCCCTCCATAATTTTTCTGGATGTAGTGGCACACCAGTTAAGAACCACTGTTTCAGTGGTATAGCTTATTGGTTCTGTGCCCTGGGCATAGAGGGGTTGAGGAGGGGGGTTGTATCGAGAGTAGAAGGTGGCAGGTGCAGGTGGGGCAGGCAGTCTTATTTGCTACTGCATGGGTTCACCCAGAGGCTCCAGGCACACAGAGGGGAGAGACCTGGGGCAGAGTCCCCTCATGAGCCTCATTCACCCTCTCATAGTTGCCAGTAATCTGCATGTAGATCCTGGCCATAAAAGCCTTAATTTGACAGTGGTGTGGAAGGGTTAACACAATAGCTGTTGCCATACAGCATGGAAAGAGGGGGAGCCAGATTTTAACAGGAAGCCAGGCAGATCTTTGCCCCGTACCCGTTTCTAGAAGAGGGTGTGCTGGGCCGACTAGGAAAGGCTGCAGTATAAGAGCTCCTGCTGCAGCCATGTCCGGGTCCTCCAGTGGCACTGGCTCTGCAGGACCCCATTTGAGAACTACTGCTACATGCACTCGCTGCATTGCCAAATCATTGTGTCATCTTAATGATCCATTAGTATTCAATTCCCACTTAGTACCTAACCTTTTAAATCTAAAATGAATACTAAGTTACTGTGTTTTTAGAGCACTTTATTTAAAGTGTTATTGGGAATTTAAATATAGTGCTTTTAGAATTTTAATTTGGGATTGTAAAAGCTTGTGTTTTACTCAGATTTATCCAGCAGATGATGTTAAATCCTTTTTTACAAGGGTAATTATATAATGAGTTTGATAATGAGTGTATTAGTTTAGTGAGTGAGAGCCATTGATAAACATTTTCACTCTCCCTTCGGCTGTTTTCATTTCTAATGTTAAAAGACTGATGAAGCTCTGAAGTGCAGTAACTCCAAAGTAAATTATTTTAACCTATGAGATTAAGTGCCTGATCTAATGGGGTATGTGAGGTTATTATTCTTAAACACTCATGTAGCAGGCCATTTACCATGAGAGCAGTGACCCAGAATGACTGTTCCACATGCAGAGATACCATGCTTATTTTTGAGTACATGCTTTTGCTGCCATAGCCCACAATAAACACATTAGGGATAAAAAAGGTGTGGGAAAATATGTAACACTACTGACTGCACAGAGTAACTACCAATCAGGGCCGATCTTGTGTGTTCCTTTTGTTGGCTTAGTTTAAAGCCCGGTGGAGCAGGTCAGCCAGTCTGGCTGAGAAGAGCCTCCTCCCTAGGGGAGGGGTAACATGTGGTAACTTTCTTCAAGTGCTTGGACCATACATATATTCCACTGTAGATGATTCTCAAGCAGAGATCTAGATTACTCTGAGGATGGAGGGAACTGCTGAGGGAGACTCTAGGTATCTATCTTCGGTAAAAGTGAAAACAGGCAGCAGATTTTGATGCTTCTACTATGCGGTGATGCTATGTGAGCATATGCATTGCAAGTACATACCCTATGCATTGGACTACGCCCTATGTACTGGAACATTTTCCAAAGCTATAAAAGCTACTACTTTTCCCTTGGGCTGGGCTGTCACTCTCAATGGCTGATGATTTCATAGTGCTAGTCCCGCTTTCATAAACATAGACTGAAGGAGCACTCTAAATGGCTTGGTCCCCCTCAGGTGAAAGGATCTAGAGCCCTGGGGACATCAAAGGTGTGAAGTTTAAGGTGTATTTCATAGGATGCACCTTGACAAAAGAGAACAGGCAAATATAGTATTTCACTGAGATGGGTGTCATTATCTTTGGCAAGAACTTTGGCTGAGGCCTCAAAGGCACTTGAGACCCGGAAGAACATGGTTACATTGGTATAATCAGCCTTTACACCAATGAAGCAGATACAATATATAGCAATATACTGGGACAGTTAACTTTTTATCCCACATTTGCGTGATCCAAGGGGGGGGTGGGAAGCCACCAGCAGTAATTTAAAAGTCTAAGTTACATCAGTATACATAATGTGTGTCCACTCTCCTACTCCAGAGCAATACAAGAGCACAAGAGAACACCACAGTCCTCTGCAACCTACTACCAGATGACTGATGGCTTTTCTTCTGCTCTTAACAATTTGGACATAGGGGAAAAGTACTGTGACCCATTCCATTACAAATAAGCTTTTTTTTTTTTTTTGACTCTGCTGGTATCATCCAGTTTACGTTTAAGAATATATACATTTACAAGAAGTGCAGAGAATGAAACATTATGAATGTTCTCCAGGACTTTTTTTCATTTTTTGTTTGTTTGTTTGTTTATTTTTAGGAGGCCAGCATCTTGAGTGATTGTTTCATGGATCCCCTCCCTCCCCAATCATGATTATGTAGAAGACCACAGAAAATAGTGCAACTTTTAGACAAAGAAAAAGTGCAATCTGACTACTCAGTCCATGCATTCTGAATAAGACTGGAAGCAAGACATTTCTTTGAAGTCTTAATACTTTTGCAAACAGACCAAGATCTCTCTCTGACTCTAGAAATGCATCTTTAGATGAACTGAAGTCTCAAGGAGAGAAGCGACTGCAAACTGATCACTTCAGTGAAGATTCAAGAAAAGGGCCAGGATTCCAGGAAGGCTCCATGGCAGCCCAACATTATTAAATGAGCTATTAAATTACCACTCCTCCCTTTATTAAATGGAACAGCTATGACCCCCATCAGCATCATTAAAAGAGAATTGATTTCAGCCTGACAGGGCCAATTCAGGCAGATGAGAATCCTGAAAGAATCTCAGTTTTCTTTCAGATAAGCAGACATGTAGAAACAAGCATTCTGAAACACTTCCTGATCAACTGCTAGAATTAAGCAAATGTAGTCTGAGCATAATACATTCTATATTCATACTGCACCCGTCCCAAGAATCAGAACTCATTACATTTCTGTTTTTTTTTTTCCACCTGCATTTACAAGTCAATGAGATTTTTTTTTATATTACTATAGAGGTTAGAGCAGGGTTCAACAATTTCTTCAAGATACAGGATATACCACCAAGTTTCACTAGCAAAGTTGACTTTATTGTTCCAGTGGAAAGCTCCTGGTGACCAAGCTTATGCAAGGTGAAGCAATGACCTGAGTAATCCGGATCAGTCCAACAGAAGTGTTTAAAGTCAACAACAAAAACTGGCTTTGATTGTTATTCATCAAGGAACAAACAGAGCAAGATGTGCAGTAGAGCAATTTTGCTCTTGATGGCTTTGCGTGTTTTTCAAATAGTGCTGCTGTGTTCTGAATCAGCTGGTAATAAGAACAAAAAACTATGAAGTATATTGCATTAACCAATCCTAAAAGTCACAAATGCACAGACCATAATGGCATAGCTAAAATTTGCTGGCATGGAGTATTGTGTAGTGACTGTGAACAGATGTAAATTAAAATTTACTGATGCCATTTAACCAACTGTGCCATGTTAAATCCATGACTGCATAATGGTTAGCCATCTTCAATCAATATTTGCTCAAAACATTGGAGCAACTACTTTTTTCCAGAAAAGTAAAAGCAAAAAGGTGGACTTAAATGATAAACGAATAAGTGTTTAGATAAATTAGAACTGCATACTAGCGAGTCTTTAGGTTCACTATCACTTTCCTGTGGTTCTTAGTAGGACTGTCCCCCCAACACATTATTACCCCCCATACACATTACTACTACATTTTCTACAAAATTTGAATAAAATCTAGTTTTTCTAGTACCTTTTCCATTAAAAATAATACCCAATTAAGCCTGAAGATTTACACATATGTAATGACTTCTAGATATTGGAGTTATTCCCCTTCAAAAGCACCTGTGTAAACTTTTTCAAATATCAATATGAAATACTAGGAATGATTTCTTAAAAAAAAAGCAAGCTCCTGTGCTAGAATTATTTGCCAATTCCTTGAAACATCTATAACAAAAGGGTTTTTTTCTCTCAGGAAATCTTTAAATCAATAGTGTGAAAGTCTTACCAAGATTTTATACATGGTGTCCATGAACTGCACTTTCTTCCTCTCCGCTCTGCATCTGCATCTGCATCTGAGCTTGCATTCTTGCAATCATCTCCTGCATACGACGAAGCTGTAAAACAACAGCACAGGAAGTCTATTAGCCCTTTCTTCTCAGAACATGACTCTTTGTTGCCACAAGTATAAAGATAACCTAATACATGTCAACATACTGATGACAAACTTTGGTATGCACTAACATTCTGTGGCCAGCTACAAATGCTTTTCGACAATTTTGTTTAATATCTGCTTCTTTTCATACACTACAGACTTTAAATAATTTATTGTGTAAGATAAACAGATATTATTTTTGTGATCCGGCCGAACTGCCAAACATTTTCCATCATGAGCCTTTTTCCACTCAGTGTAATTTTTCTGGTTACTGTATGAAATTAAAATGGATTTAAAAAAAGTTAATCTTTAAGAGCTCAAAACTATTTACTGTTATTGAAACACACAGTAAAGCCCCAATATGCGTAAACTGATAGGAATTATAAGACTGTCTGTAGGAAAGCAAAGGTTGGAAGAATTTAGTAACTGAAGAGTCAGTTGACTAATTGTCAGGCTGCATGTTCAAATGCAAATTCAAATCACAGTACATAATGGCTGAGCAACTAATTCTCAAAGACTAACCATCTGCCAAGTGTGAAGTTTCATTTTTTAATGTGTATTTACATTCAGAAAAAGGTACCACATGAAGAGTCCTGAACTTTTTCATTTTTCACCATCACCAAAATACACAAGCTTCTTCCTACTGCCCTGTTCTTATGGCTACATCTTGCCCAAGAAGGCTTGTGCTAGCGGCAAAAAAATGTCTACTTAACTTGGTCCTTAAGACCCTGCTAAGAATGCACACCATGATTAGACAATCATGTCATACTACAGCATCTATCCCCTAGGAAATGGACTGAGGCACACCTCATTCACAGAAGGACACAAAACAGTCACAAGATGGTACCTATTTCCTGATTCAAACAGAAGCAAGCTACCAACCTGGAGTTTAAAAGCTCCATATAGTTATTATCTTCAGCAATCCAAGTTGGAATGGCAAAAATTAGGCTCTACATTACTGGAGTAGAAGAGCTGTGGCAATTCTTTAATCAGAAAATGCTCTCAGCATTCAAGTTACACGCATACTACTGAACTAACTGTTAAACTAAAAAGCAACTTCTGCAGGAAAACAACATACAAAATTTTTTTAGACCAAGCAGGATATTGAAAAAAACCCTCTCTTTTTCTTCAAAGATAGGTCAGCACTTTACTGTAAGAAAAGTATTCTTACTTCAGCTTCCTTTTCCAGCAAAATCTGGTCTTTATTCACTTCTTCATCTTCTACTGTCCTAGGATGAGAAAGGAGACATAAGTATTTTTCAAAAAACATCTGTACCTTCCAATTTAATTCAACTCTCAGTGACAGCTTTGCATTTGCTCACAACCAAAAGAGTCTCATACGGAACTAGCTTTACACTACCTTATATGCAAAGTATTCAAATACCTGGAAGATTTATCCTGGCACTTTCCCCACATTAGTTGTGAAACATTTAATAAAAACAAACCTTTCAGAACAAATAATTTCCTCACTCATGCCCCAAAAGAAGGAAAGCAAAAAAGAAAGCTTAAGAGAATCAGGTACAGAATTCAGAATGTTCCTCCTTGTTCTGAGTTAAGAAGGCTTTCATTCTTGCTCTGTATTTGGAATTAGTACTGCATCTAAACAGCATCTAAGTGCATTTATTGTGGGGGGTGGGGGTTGTTTGTTTGTTTTTTTTTTAAGATAACGTGTGCTGTAACAGCTATTTGATGAAAGCTAGCTAAGTGCATCATTTACCATCCCCAAGTTGGAAGTTAGGAATTGCTAGCACCCCAGTCTTCTCTCCTCCTTCAGAGATGCAATTGATGCTGTTTTTCAAAATCACATCTTAGAAAACATACCTGAGCTGGCATTCCTACATGCCTAAATCAAAGAGCAAGTTTAAGAAAAAGATGGTCAGTCTATAAGCACATGTATGCAAGTGATATTTTAAAGCAGATGGTGCTTTGCTTAGAAAACCTAAAGCTAATGTCTACCAGGTGTCCTTCCACAAAATACTGCCAATCCTAAAGTTGGTAGTTTCTTCTGAAGTGAAAGATACAGAACTTTTTCATATCACAAGCTTGCTATCAAAAATCTAAAAGACAAGCATGAATTATTAAAACCTTTAAGATGACAAAAGTTGTTTGCTTAAAGAACTAAAGGGCCAGATCTTCAAATCCATGTATGCACCTAACTTAAATCAATAGGAGTAAAGTAGCTAAACACTGCTAAAGATCTAGGACTAGTGCAAGATTGAAGAATGATTTTCAAAAGAAAAAAAGATTCTTAACTAGTCTGCATGGCTTCTAAGAACCTGGCCATTTAAACAGCTGAGACTTGGATCTGACATGCCACAGCCCAGCCCAGCCCAGCCCAGCCCAGCCAGTAAAATTCTCAAGGTACTAGAATTTGCCCGTAATTAAATGAGAGCAAAATCTTAATTCCTTCTTCTTCCTACAGTATTACGTATCAGACATGACTCAGGTTGCCTAATAGAGTACAGTTAGTTTGGTAAGAAATGTTGCTGTATACGTGTACACAAATTATAGAAATAATATTATATAAATCTTGCTATGCTTTTCATGACTGCACATGGAAAAACCTATCACTAACTGGCAAAAACCTCTCCCTTCTTCATTTAGGTAAATTTGGGAGGAACATGACATGGATTTTTCTTTTTTTAATGCAAGACTGTTGAGAGAACGTATTGAGGAAAAACCAAAGTCAGAGAAATTTGTTTTGTAGTAATGCATGGAGGTGTAGGAGATGAGATGGGGCAAAAGGGAACCATTTATTTAGAACTAAAGACCAATAAAGACCAAAATACAGGTTTTTCCCATGTACAGTAGAGCAGTAGTACCGTGCCTGACAAAAGTCCATGCATAAGTGGTTTCATTTTAGCTGCAATGTAAGAAATCCAATGCAACTTAAAAAGAGCACTCCAGCTTGGAATTTAGGTGATTCTGGTACTTTATGGCCTAAGCTGCCTTCAGACACTTTAGAGGGGTTTGAATTTCAAAAGATACAGCAGTATGTTTGAAAACTGAGAACAGAGTGCTAGCTTGCTGAAAGGAGAATTGAAATTACAGGCTACCACAAAAAGTTGAGACCAATTCCTGTTCTAATAACTGACAGATCTGGATCTGCTTTCAGAACCCCAGTCCAACTCCACTGAAGAACTATGCAGCTTGGTGGTTCAGATCCACTTATGTATGTGACCATATAACCCTCTAGTGGCTGAAACCTGTAGAACAGCACTTAAAATTAATGCTTCTCTTATTTGAGACTCTCTTCATTTTAGACAAAAAAACCCCCAAAAAACCAAAAACCCCAAGTTTTCCTTTCCACTTGACTCTTGCCTTGAGGCTTCAGCTCCTGGTCTCCCTGCCCAACCTCTAAGGGAAAACTGCCAGACAAAGTGGTCTGACTAGGCACAGTTTTCTGACTACTAAGCAACACAAAATCATGTTCTTGTAACAGGATTTTAAGGTTTAAGTAAACTGTGGTCATAGAACTATCTGGTGAAAACAAAGCATTCCTTTTCAGAAGGAGCCTCCCCAAGCCTGGTTCCCAGCCCCACTGGCCACCCTGCAGCCTAGTTGGACAGTGCAAGTGGCAAGAGGAAGTAAGAGTTGTGCGGAAGCAGACTCAAGGAGGTTTTACCTGTCCCAGGTCCCAGGCCAGCAGGCCTTAAAAGCCAAATGTGCAGCCCACCTGAGCAGCACACATGTCAATTTAAAAGCCTGCAGGGCCAGGAACCAGGGTTGGCAAAGCTCTCCCTGGGGTAGCAAGGCAAAGCACCCATGCCCGAGTCCCAGGGGTGCAGAGCAGATGGGGGCTTTGCTGCAGGGCTTGGTATCCAGGAGCAAAGTGAACGAAGGATAGTGGCAAGCCCCTGCCCACTTCTCACACCACAGTCCCCAGTGTGAGAAGCAGGCAGGGAGCTTTACTCTGTGATCCAGCCCCCTCAGAAACCAGCCACAAGCCCCTGCACACTTCTCCCAGACCAGAATCACCCTGGTCTCAGGAAGGTACAAGGCAGGGGAAATGGGGTGGTCCCTCCCCTGGAAAGATTTCTAGCAGCATAAATTTTTCACCACTAGAAATGTACATGGCTTGACTCCCAAAATACAAGGTTGTGTGGGACCGTGTAAAAAATAATATAAGTTTAATAATTCTACCTCAAGTTCAAAAAGTGTGCCCCAGAGACAGCAGACCTCTTGCAATTCATTTCTTATTAGCATGCGGTGGGCTCTGCAGGACCCAACCTGTTTGTTATTTAGAAGGCAAATTCAGATGACAATGGAAAGAATTTTGAGCTGTACTCAATGACTGTTTCCGATACCACCCAAAAGAGGAACAATTCAGGAAAGAGTAATGACATCATGAGTTTCCATGAGTGCCTTCAAAATGACTTCCATCTCCAATATTCTGAAAGTATTCCCACTCCAACAACTCTTTTTTTTTTCTTCAGATGTACCAAAACAATAGAAAAAATGGAATTAACTCCTAAGCATTAGAAGAAAAGCTGATCAATCAAACTCCAGTTTTTTATTATTATCCCAGGTCATTCCATGATACAGAATCCCTCAAGTGAAAGGTCAGTGTCTGAGAAAGGGAAGAGACAGATAAGCAAGTTCAGAAGAGACACAAGTACAAAGTAACCGTGAAATAATAACCTTGGGCCACTTTTGAGTCTCTCAGAGCGGAAGTTCTCATAGTGAAGGTCCTGGGTCACCTCCTGAAGATCCTGCATATGGGTGCTAAAAGGAGATAAAAATTTATAGTGAAAACGTATCTTGTATTTGGCATAGCTTGCTCAGGCAGTTTGAAGTAAAATTCAAAAAATTCTCCCTTTTCTATTCTTCGAAGTCCCATTGCTCCCGTCAGGCCTAGCCCTGTTAAATGTTTGCAGGAAGCTTCTGCTGGATTCCATTACTCCCTCTCCCATGCTAAGCTATAGGACCGGGCAGGTGAGGTCTCCAAGTGCTGTTTTCCCTTGTAGCTCTCCACGTGGAAAGAATTGTGGGTATTTCTTACATTCAACAATTAATATTCTCCCTCCCCTGAAGAACAGAGGAAGGAAGAAGCCACATAACATAAGCATGTACACTGTTTCTTTAGAAACCACGTTAGTCACACACACAACCCCTCATCCCATCTTTCAGTAGTAAGGGCTTTTTTATTTATTTTTAAATGACAATTAGGATTTCTACAGTTATCTTTTTAGAGCAGGACAGCCTAATGCTCCCTAACATTGGCTGCAAGGATACACAGTTGGCTAAAAGTGAGAAGAGGTTCTGAAAAAGTAAAAAAGATGTTTCTGGACTGCGAAAATGAAGTGATTTGACAGGTTTCATTTCTAACTGCATATAATTAAAGACTCAACTGTTACAAATTAAATTTAGTATGACAACACAAAGATCTGGGTTTTTTCAATTCAACCACTACATAAAAAGTGTATTTCTGTAGTTCAGAACTACAATAATTATGCAGAGGCCATCACGATATGTGGGAACACACTGCTTTTCCTAACCTGCCTACGGCAGGCCAAGAAACAAAGTGTCCGCTATTTTAGAAGCTTTACTTCTGCTTCTAGAAGGTGCATGCTAGAAAATGGAAAGGAGCCTGGATTTCTTTACAGAACAGAAATGCTTCCATTTCCAAGCACAGAGAAAAAGGCTGTTCCTGTTCAACATAGTTTTGATTCCTGTTAAGCCTAGAATTTGTTTGAATAATGCTTTGCCTTTCAGTGTTGGATACGCTCCACCATTTGCTCATGTGGAATGCAACCATCTCAGGATAATTTGTACGCGTCATTTGAGCTTAACGTATTTATTATGCAACGGTATTACATACTAGAACCTCTAGACAAGTAATTCCTTCCAGAGTTTTTAAAAGAACTATCACCTCATGCATCCTTCCTATAAAACTACTAGTTTATTAAAATTAAAATTTTATCAAGGAATTTAGGGAGAATCTCTGCATAATCCTACTTATGGGACTGCCTACAATAAATGATCAAAATGCCTGTGGCACAAAGCAGAGGCTTCTTAATTCCTACAATGAAGAATATGCACTGCACACACCACTTTAAGACAACTGTAATTATAAAATGGGGGTAGCAATTCTGAGGCACTTGATCCACTAATCTGTACAGGGATTTCGCCTCTCCTTGAAGACTGTATAAAATTTAACAATGGGATGACCTTAGTTCTCCTCCTTCCTTTCCTATTTTAAGAAGCTCTAGCCTAACTTTAAAGTTTCCAAGGCTGTATTCTACTGCAGAAATGTTACTCATTTCAAACTTGAGTACACATTTGTAAGACTAATGATTTGTATACTGGTATTAAGCACACACTTAGCAAATTTGCAGATTGGGTGGAGTTGCAGATATTCCAGAGAGTAGAGCCAAGATCCAGAATGACCTGAATAGACTGGAGATACAGTTTGCAATCAACTAGATGAAATTCAACAAGGACAAATGCAGAGTCCTGCACTCAGGATGGAATATCTAATCATTCCCCAGTTTATATTTGTGCATACAATATATATTTGTATTCACAAATATAGACTGGGGAATGATTAGCTAGGCTTCAATACTGCACAGAAGGATTTAGGAATTACAATTTTTGTTTGTCTGTGGTTTTTTTGCAACAAAAGCCAAAAGCATATTAGGTTGTATTAGGAGTGTCATATGAAAATCAAAGGAAGTGATTCTTCAGCTCTACTTAGTATTTGTGATACCTCACTTGGAGTACTGTGTCCAGTTTTGGGCCTCACAATTCAAGAAAGATGTGGACAGACTAAAAAGAGTCCAGTGGAGAGGGACAAAAATGATTAGAGGCCTGGGAAGCAAATCTTATGAGGAAAGGCTGAAAGAACTAAGGCTGAGTCTGGAGAAGAGAAGACTGAAGGGGGATTTGATAGCTATCTAAAAGGCAATTATAGAGAGGATGGAGATGGGCTTATCTGTGGCCACAGGGGACAGGACTAAGAGCAATAGCCTCCAGTTAGAGCAAGGGAAATTTAGGCTGGAGATTAGGAGGAATGTTCCAACTATGAGGTTAGTCAAGCACTGGAACAAGCTACCTAGAAAAGTTATGGAATCTCCATCCCTGGAAACTTTCTAAATTAGGTTAGATGGACACTTAGTTGGGATGGTTTAATCAGGGATAACCCTGCCTTGAGCAGGGGGCTGGTCTAGATGCTCTTGTGAAGTCCCTTCCATCCCTATTTTCCTGTGTCCGAAGTGCCTTGGATCAAATTTGAAAGAATTAGTGAAATAATCTCTCCTCATTTTTAAGTCAAACCAGAAAGATCTGAGAAGAGTTTCTTTGCTTAGCATCCCTGTATGATCAGAAGTCTGTACAACCAGATATGCATAACAGTGAAGGAGGGATAACTATATAAATGTGTATCAAAAAAGTTGACAATTCTTGCAATAACACTCAGCTGGCAAAAAGCGGCACCTCCACAGAATAAAAGTCCAGAAGCATGGGGCCATGAGCACAAATGCACTGAAAGCCAAGTTGCTGCCTTGCATCTTTCTTGTTTGATATTTTGACAATTCAGTTTATCCATAATGAAGCTACCTTATTAGCATCACTTTGCCTTGGCTGTATGGTAGAGTTATATAGATATAATCCAAGATGCAATTTTAAACTAATGCTAATTCCTGCATGAACACTTATTCACTTTAAATGTAAGTAGAGGTGCAACAATACATTGGTTCAATATTGGATTGGCACCGATGTAAAGAAAGTTGACTGTACTGGAAATAGGCTTTTTTTGCCCGATGTGGCTGATAATTTGGCTGATAAATACCCGTGCATGCGCGCAGCCGCAGTGCAGCATGTAGGCAGCGAGGAGTACAGCTCGGCATCTTAGACAGCTGAGTCTAGCTGGTAAGTCTGTTGTGGAGGAAGGAGAAAGGGGAGGGAAGGCAGATCAAAGCCCCCTGCAGTGAGGGAGGGAGTGGGGCTGGGGCAGGTGCTGCACTGCCAGTGCGGGGCAGGGGATGGAGCAGCGGCTTGTTCGGGGGGGGTGGCTCCTGCCTGCCGCTGTGCGCACCCCAAGAGGGCATGGGGGGCACATGCCCCTGGATGTGTGAAGGGTGGGCTGCTGCCATGGGCTGGAGGCTGTGTTGGGCTCTTTCCGGCAGGGGCTGGGCTGCACTTGGGCCACGACAGATGGTGGCACTGGGAAAGAGGGGTTGGGGGTGGGGTGGCCTACAGTGAATTCTGGGATAGCTGCAGCTCCCCTGTAATGCTCCTCCCAGAACCGCTGCTGCCCGCCCCTAGCACAGCCCAGCCCAGCCCCCGCTGCCAGGAAGAGCCTGGTGCCATCCCAGACCCAGCCTCCAGTGGCAGCTCACCCCACAGAGATCCAGGGACACATGCCCCTCCGTGCCCTCCCAGGGTGCGTGCAGCAGTGGGAGCCACCTGCAACCCCCGGACAAGCTGTGGCTCTGTCCTGCGCCCTGCCCTGTCCCGGCTGGACAATTCCTGCCCCAGCCCCTGCCCCACTCCCTCCCTCATTGCAGGGCCTCAAATCTGTATCCCCTACGCTCCTTCCCTTCCCCTGCCCCTTCCATCACAACAGACTTACAGCCAGACACTGCTCTTCAAGCTGCTGGGCTGCATATTGGAAATCGGACTGGTATCAGCCGATATGCTTCCTTAAAAATTGGCTAACGGTATCAGCCCCAAAAATCTATCAGTGCACCCCTAAATTTAAGTTCACTGGGCATCATAGAATCATATGACAGGATTAACATTTAACAGGACTAAGCCTGATAGGAGTAATCATAGATATTAAAGGCTGGAAGGGACCTCGAAAGATCAAGTCCAACCCCCATGCTCTGGGCAGGAATATGGCTGAGATCAAACGATCAAATGATCCCTTGAAGACTTCCAGAGGAGACTGAGCAGACACCTGGCTGGGAATGTTTAAAGCTGAATCAATAACCCCATTGTTTTACCAAAATAAGGAAGTGTCTTTATAGTCGTTTGCTCCTGTCTAAATACATCAGTTTCAAAGTCAATTTAAGTTACGTTGATGATGAAACAACCTTTCCATATAGACCAGGCCTCAGACATACCTTCAGAGCATACACCAATAGTTAGTGTTGACCTTAAGCCAATACATGCTGAGACAGCTCAAACTCTGGTGGCAATCCAGCCCAAACTTGAAAGCTTTGTCGAACTGCAGCAGTACAAGCCCAGGTTTCCCTACCTTTAACTTCCAGATCTGTCTACACTCCACTTCTGCCCATTAACTAGAGACAAGTTGTCAATAGACTGATGCCTAAAAGGGACAGTATTTCATAAAATGGACAAAAATGCCCACAGCTCTGGTATGGACAGTAAGATATAATGACACAAGGAAGGATGGCTGCATGGGCCAGACCAGCTGAGGGCAACCACAATGTCAACTCTAAATACCAGCACAGACAACCCTGAAAACCAAGTGCAAATCTTGACTGACGTTATACGGATGCTCCTTTCAAAGACTGCTGAGTCATAAAGCACCAAAGAAAAAGCTATTGATTTTTTTTTGTAGGGTTAAGCCCTGCATAGATATTATGACAGCATTTTTAATATACAGGAAGGTTTGCTCTACTTCCTTGAGAATCCTAGCACTGTAACAAAAGTATTCTAGTATTAGCTCATGTCTTATAAAAGCAAGCAAGTTTAAGGATAGGCAGTCACTTACATTAGCATGGTTCTCAGCTTCAAGAAGTCATTATGTTCAGGGTTCTCCACTTCAACTACCCCCCAAGGGTAGAGACGACCTCTAACTTTTTTACCTTTGGCTTCAATCAACTGATTTGATCCCACTACACAAAATGGAATACTGGTCTGAAAATTGAGAGTTACCAAGAATGAGTGAACTAGGACCAAAGTGCATCCAAGAATAATTTAAGTGTCTGCAAGCAATGTAAGAAAAGACTACATAAAAGCTTATTGCTATTTCATCTCTAGTTTTCAACCTATTTTCCAGAGGATGGTAAATATCATTATTTTCATTTTCTACATGGGCAAACTTAGGCACAGAGGTAACATACCTTAGGGTGAGGATGCACTTTACTTTACTACAGTGTAACTTACTATGGAGTAAAATCCAGGGTAAGCAGCAGACTCAGACTAGCTCTTCCAAATCTAACTCTCCACAGAAGGGTGTTATTATAGGGCAGGGTCACTAGGGAGAAGAGTAGCTTATCTGCATTTGATCAAACACCTGCCTCAGCAGAAACCAACTAGGGGAGCAGATATAAAAGTTCTACTTAGTAACACTCTCAAATAGTAAAGTTTTACACATTTTAAAAGGTAACTTTACCCAGGACTCAAGTGATTTGCTACATAGTACAGCTGTGCATCCTGCATCCATTTTACTTCTACTATACAGTTAAGGTGGTGGGTGGTGGGAGTGGTGACAGGCTGGATGCCAAGTGGCAGGGGTGGGGAGAAAGTTGCCATGGCAAGTGGCAGAGCAGCGGCAGCGCAATGTCTGTGCAGCCCTGCTCTTGCCCTGTCCTGGCCTGGCCCTGCTCCTGCGAGACAGCGGCACGGGGTGGTGGCGCTCCATCCCTGCCTGAACCCTATGTACCCCCTGGGACCTTTTAAAGTGTGACAACCCCCGTGATAAACAATTCCCAGCTTGCATGTTTTTCTCACATCTATTTATGTATTTTTACCTTTAGAAGTCTGGTCTGTTCTTTAAAATCCTCATCCTCATCTGACTCTGCATCAGGCAAGTGGTAAATCTTGATACCATGTTCCTCAATTTCATCCAGAATCTGAAACGGAATACAAGATGAGAAAAAAAAAAAAAAAAAAAAAAAAAAGTACCTAAAAATGTAGTTCTTTAATTTTGAGTGAAAGTAACTCATAGATAGGCAAGACATTTTCTGAGGAAGCTTGGATTTTCTTCTTCTTTTTTTTTTTTTTTTTTTAATAATTAAAAACTACTGGTTTGATTTTTGCATTTAAAATTGCTCTCACACGGTCATATTAAACACCCAGCTACTCCCCTCCCCTTTATATTTGGGACAGGCTGGACAATACTGTTTCTCCCTATTCTACCATTTTACTATTTTCAAAAGTCTACTTTCTGTTTTGGGCAACACAGATTTTAAAGTGTCACATTCAATACTTCTCCCTCTCACAAGCTTCCATTTATTGTTGTTTCCAATGAAATTTCCTTGTGATTTGGCTCCTGTTTTGTTTTGGAAAACTTCTCTCTTCAAGTAAGGAGGCAAAGAACAAAAATCCATGCTGCAAAGGCAGCCAGCAAAGTAAGGGACATATGTTTTGGACTTGGTAGATAACCAAATGCAAGTTAAAATAAATTGTTTATCTAGACACCTTAAAATCATGTTTAAACTTATTTCTGTTCCTATGAAAGTGATAGTCAATCAATGCTTATAAACAAGATTGAGGATTTGTTTATAGGAAAATGGCAATATCCAGGAGCAAAAGAGGGAATGAGGTGGGGAGGGGGACCTGTTTGGTGATGCAGTTGCACTCACCTTTGATTCCTGCTCTATTCCTAGTGTAAACAGTGTCAGGGACAGCCACATTTCTCTTCAGACAGAGGTGGGGGAGTCAATCAACTTCATGGCATAGTACCTACTTGATTCTTGCTAGTCTCTTCACTCCACAGTGTACAACTTTTGGTCTTTAATCAAGATAGCCTTTCTTCTACAATTATCCTGTCCACTATCTATTCCTAGTAATCTTCCTCTGCTCACACCACAGCTTGTCCAAGGGAAAAAAAGTGTGTCACTACCAGGTATCTGTGTTTTCCGTTCCCCATGGGAAAACGGAGAAAACCATGGATTTCCTGTTTTTAGCAGAGAAATCATGGTTTTTCTCTTTTAGCAGAAACCCGCAGATTTCCCTGCTTTTGCAAAGAGCTCAGCAGCCTGGCAGAGTTCCAGCCTGCAAGAGCTGTTTGCAAAACAGGCGGGAAAGCCCCAACCCTGCCCTGAGGGGCAGAGGGAGAGAGGGGAAAGGGCGGGTCCTGACACTTGCACTTACTCACTTGTCTTGCTGCAGGTAAGTCAGGCTTGGGGGATGTGGGGCAGGGGGGAAGCTGGCTAGGGGCTGAGGGAGCTGGGGAGGTTTGCGGCTGGCCAGGCACTCCAGCCGGGAGGGGGTTTAGAGCCTCCCTGTTCCTGAGGGGGAGCAGGAACAGGGAGGCTCTGTTCCTCACCCCCCTCCCCCACCACTCCCAGCTAGCTGCAAACCTCCCCACTCCTTCAGCCCCCAGCCAGCTTGGGCACTCCCTGACTGGGCACTCCGGCTGGGAGAGGGTTTGCAGCCTGCCTGCTCCCACCAGAGTGCTCGGCCGGCTGCAAACCCCTGCTACTCCTGGCTAGTTGCATCCCCCTTCTCCTGGCTGGAGTGCCTGGCTGCAGATTGCCCAAACTGGACAGGGGCTGAGGGAGTGGGGAGGTTTGCATCCAGCCAGAAGGAGGCGGGGTTTGTAGCCTCCCCCGCTCCCTCAGGCCCCAGCCAGCTTGGGCACTCCCTGGCCAGGCACTCCAGTTTGCAGCTGGCTGGGAGCAGCAAGGGTCTGCAACTGGCCGAGCACTCTGGCCGGGAGTGGGCAGGCTGCAACCCATCCAGGCCAGAGTGCCTGGCCGGTTACAAACCTCCCTGCTCCCCCTCAGCCCCCAGCCAGCTTGGGCGCTTTCTGGCCGGAAGGGGTGGTGGGGGGGGTTGCAGCCTGCCAGGCACTCCGGCTGGGAGTGGGGAGGCTGAAAACCCTGCCAGGCACTTGGGCCAGGGGAGGCAGAGTGCCCGGCAGCTGCAAACCCTGGGTCACAAACGCTGCGCTCTCTACCCTGCTGCCCTCCCCCAGGCCCTCTGGAGCACAGCATGTGCAACTGGTGCGGCAGGGCACAGCAGGCCAAACACAAAAGCTGCCTACCGTTGCAAGCTCTGTGCTGCCCTGACCACACTTCCTCTGTGTGCACGGGGGCAGCACACACCTGCCCTGCCCCCACCCCCACATAGATCTGAGGGGCGTGGGCCTCCCTGGTCCCTGGAAGTGCACGATGCCACTGGGAGCCAGCCCTGCCAGAGCCTGCAGCGGGCAGCAGCGAGGGGCAGCCGGTTCGTGC